ATACTGTCGCTCTGCCTGGTGTGCATGATACAGAGTGTGTGCAGAATTTCTACTCGTATACCTGCTTTGCAGAAGCTACAGAAAGACACTATTGATACCTTATTTCTGGTGAGCAATGCCTCACAAGTCTACCTAAACCAAGTGAAGTTCTTCAGAAGTTTTGAGCTGGTTTGAAGACACATACTGAGGTTAAACTGGAGAAGTACTTTGTGTTGCACGACCATAGGTTTTGAGGTTGTCTTGTTGTTTTTCATTAGATTTGTTACTAGGCTCCCAAACGCTTAGTATCGTCAAACTAGAAACTTTTTTCCAGAAACGTCGAACCACACCTTGAGCGACTCTGTGTGAGTCTGCGTTATCTATGTGTTTGCGTGCTTAGTCCTGTGCACCCATTGATTCTTCCTGGTGGGAACAGAAGCACAGCTTCAAATGCTAGTGCTGTCCCAAAGGACGCACAGTTGCTTCAATTCAGTATAGGTCTACCTACACACATATATACTTTTCTTTCTTCATTTCTCCTGTCTTTTATCTTTGGCATGCATCATAACTCTCCCGTGGCACTTTTATTACAGGAAAGTGAAGGAATTCAGAGAACAGCTAGTTCAGAAACACGGGCACTTTTGGTTTTATAAATGAAAACATTCATTTTGCTGTTCTGCTGGGCTTTTGACATATTTCAACAACTTCAGCAGATAAATGGGAGAAGAAGGATAGATGGGCAGAGGCTGCATAAGAAACTTTAGGGAATCCAAAGAATTTTCTATGTTAAATGAAACTGGGAAAAAATAACTACACTGTGTCACAAGGAGTTTAGTGAATTCATAGATCACGTTGTTTACATTGTGCAGTGTGGTTACACCTCTGCATGAACACTCAAATATATGTTTAAGATCAGTACCATATAAAAAGATACTAACCCTACCAGTAAACATGAATTCACAGGTATTTTTACGTATTACTCCTCTAAAGCACTGCTGCTACAGTCAGATAAAGAAACCTATTTTACCTTGGGGGGGCTTTATCTCGGTGGGGCAAGGGGGGGTGAGGTAGTATGTAGGCAGCGTCTACGAAGCGACAGTCTCTATCTGTGAGCAAATCAGCCAAGCTTACGAGTTGAACGGGACGAATCTCACCCATAAAAACTCAAAATAGTTCTTGCAGAAGATATGCATATTTCTGAGCAAAATTGGGCAATAGCCTAGAGCATTGCAGATGGCAAGACATATCACTGTTCAGGCCACTGAACTGAGTTCAAAAAACCTATTCCTGAAGTAGGTGTTTAGGGTCATTTTATTCTCAGGGGAGGGAAAAACAGTGTTTCTAAGTGCCAATTAATCTCATCATAAGAGCAAAAGCAATGAAAAATCAAATGGGTCAGCTGAGAAAAATTAATCCTGAAACAAGTTCTGGGAAAAAATGCAGATTTTCTGGGGAATGGCATTATGGAGAAAATTCATGCTTAAAATCAGGTGTAATTTTGACAACAGTTTTTGCTGAAAAAAAAGTAATTCTGGTCATAGAGAAAAATATTGAAAATGTAAAAATGTTTCATTTCAAAATTATGCGGATGGATGCATTTTGATTTTTCACTCCAAAACAGTAATCAATTTGTTGAGGTTAAAACATAACTTTTAGAGTGATGAATAAGTCAAAAAATGAGCTGGAACATATCACTAGGGGGCAAAGTATTTTTAATTGACCCCCCAGATTAAATTATTGATGTATTTATTTGTTTATTTGCTTGTGGGCATCACTGAAGACATATTGCAGTATTCACTTTCCCTTTGGCTTTCGGATCAAAAAAATCCACGCTTCACCCACTGCTCTAATCCAGGCTTGGGTGGGTTTAAGGAGAGGGTAATGAAATGCCAGCCAATATCCTTGCTCCATGTGAAACCCCTTCTGCATGACTGGGTGTCGCAATGCAAGTTACTGCTGGAATGTACTATGTAATTCTGGCAAGAAGTCAATAGGCTCGAACTCCTCAAATAACCAAAGCGTGGTACTAAGAAATCAGTGGAGCAGGCAGCAGCCCAGACAGCCAGTCCATTAGCAGCTTAACCACAGCAGATGTAAAGTCACCAACAAAACTCCCTACAGAGCCTCCCAAAGAGCCAGATGCTACTGCTATAAAAAGACCTTCTAGAAACTTGGCATGTCTCCTGCCCACATTTTTTTTTAAAGAAACATTCTCTAGATAGGAGTTTGTTGTTGGTTTTTTTTTCATTTAGGGTCAGGGGCAAAGGAGAGGAGGAGAGGAAGGAGGAGATACTGCTTCTTCACTCTGGTTTGCTTGTGAATGAATCTTGTGCTCATGAAAACAAAATTCAGCGATAGCACGTGCTGAGACACGGAAGGCAATAGGCACAATTCCAGCCTTCTCCCACACACAGCACCTTGGGCTGACCTGTGGATCCTTCCTCAAAGAGCCCTACCAATGCCCTTGGGCTGAAACACCAGCTGTGATTTTATTCTTTCCCGTCTCACTGGGCCACCAGTGAGCCCAGCTGGCCCCACGTGCTGCACTTTGGCAGTCCTCCTGCCTTGCACTCTTGGCTGGCGCACCTCAAGTCAGGTGGTTGTGCTTGGCCTGTTGATCTTTGCCTCTCATGTTGCTCCACCAAAGGACTTGCTTGCTGACCTGCAGCACTACCAGCCCTTCAAGTTTTCCTGAAATAGTTGTGAGCCTCGTACGCCCAGATGAAAGGCTCACCTGCGTCTGTGCATGAGGACAGATGTTGTTTTGGGAATGTATGGTGAAATATTCTGCAAGATTTAGATGTAATACCTCAAGGTGACCCCTTACTGGGAGTCTGAGTAGCAGCAGGCTGGTGGCTTTGGGCTGAGCAGTTAAGGAAGAAAGCAGCTGATGGCCCGCTGGAGAGATTAGGATTTCTCCTTCGCCCAAGCTGCACCTGATGGGGTAACTAAATCTCTCTGAAAGGAAGTCAGAACGAACAACGATGCTTTGATTTCGATGGAAATTTTGACAGGTCTGTCCCTAGACTAGGCCACGTAGGACTCATTGTGTGGTGACAATAGCTCAATTTAGAGATGAGTTTTGGTGGCAGAACAACAGGAGGTGGAGGACAAAGAGGAGGTAGGCAGATAGCACCTGCTAGCAGAGCGTGTCTGTGCTGAGCCCTCACGGTGCTCCTCAGCTGTATGAGCCATAGAGCTCAAGAGGCCTTTAAACTAGAGATACCCTTGTAAGACTTTCACAGAAGACAGGAGACGTTCCCAGGTGATTCACTGCACCAACAGGAAAGGGAGAAAGAACTGTATTTTCCGACTACTGCACACCTTTGATTCAAACCAGTATTAAGCTATTATTAGGGTCCAAATATGCATTTACAAGACAGTGAAGGCAAGATGCCTGTGAAATGGTATTTGCCCCAAGACAAACTAGGCCCTAGGAAATCACAGGAGTCAACACTGAGAATGGAGGTGGATGTTCACAAAGGGAGCCCTGAGGAGGAGATGGACCACTGGTGGTGACTATCTCTGGTGTCCACCTCTGGCACACTAGAGCAGACCTAGTTGCTCATCTCATGGCCTTATCAATGGCCTGTTCAATGCACGGCTCTGTCCAGGACTGATGCTTCAGAGGTGGTTTCTCTAAAACCAGTGGTTCATGGTGACAACTTTTTTTGCCTTTTTGCACCTTTGTGTACAGTTAACCTAGGCTGGATATAAGATGTTCCTGTCATTATTAGCATTTTTCTACTCCTCCCTCTGCAGTAGCCTTTTGAATTTCCTTTAGCATTTTATGGTTATTGCCATCAGTTCGATACTACATTTAGCTCTCTAACTGCTGCTTTCCTATTACGGCTATTCAATGGTACATTTTGTTACAGCTCGTATATTCATGTAATTAGATTGTATTTCCTCATTCATAGCAATTCTTCTCTGTGGGGATGACCTATTCAGTCATTGCTATGCAGTTTGTATCCTGGTATTACACTGTTCCACTGATTATTTTCCCTCCACTAAGTTTCCAAGTTGTCTGTTTTAACAATATCTCTTGCTTAAATGGAATGTCACATACTTAGATTGTTTGGTATTTCCTAACAAACTGTACCTGCCTCTAACTTCTCCTTTTTCCACCCCTAACGGATACAGTTTGTTGGGTTTTCTTACTTTTTAAATTATTATTGCCCAGAAAATGATCCAACTTAATCCATGTGCTTTTTCACGCTTCTCAGCTTTCTTTTGCCTTTACTAACATTTTTCCCAGCAGCATTTATTTCCCATTTCCCCTTCCCTCACACAGACACAGAAACAACAATGAAGCCAGGTGACAAAGAATCGCATGTTTCGCTGTGAAAAGCTACAGAACCAAGATAAGTACATTAGAATGATTTCCAGTTCGGACTGGGAAAGACATTTTACTTGTTTCACAGGTCAGACTGTTGGAATGGGAAGTAATCCTTGTGGAGAAGAGATGCATTTTAGCAAACGTTGTGTGCACCTTTGTTTTGCTTTGGGTTTTTTCCTTTAACGGTGGTATCTTCCAAAGCTGAGAAACATGTGAACAATACATTTGTTGCTGATTGCTGGGCATTCTACTTTTACCATTTTTCTCTCAAGATTTCAGGTATGGCTTGCATACATGAGATTTCTATCATTCAGCTATTTTTATCCCATTCAGGTATTTTTTTACAAATGCAATAAACACAAAGCAAAAGGTCCAGTTGTTTTGGAAGGAAGAGGGAAAGGAAGGATATGGCTAAATGACAAATGCATTTTTTGATTGATTTAGTCGTGAAAAAATTACTTCCCTTTTCTCCCTTCTCCCTTAACAATTTTGTATTGTTGTTTGTATCAGAAAAAAATTACAATGCCCAGGTATTCATAGTTCAGATTCCAGGTTCTTCAGTTTCCTGAATGTATAAAATCTCCACAGAAGCCACCCTCTTCCCACAAAGAAACAAGACAAAACAAACAAAAAAACTTTCATCCAAATAACTTTAGGGACAGCACATTTTGTAGCTCCGTAATGGGAATCTGGGATGAAAAATGAGAAGACATTCCATGACATCAAAATCCAAGGCCAGCATCTGGGGTTCTCGGCGCCTATCTTGTCCTAAAAATAAAGTTATTTTTAAGAATTAGAGGAAGAAAGAAGAAAAAACACCACCACCGGGAATCAGTCTCAGTCATCTCATGCATCTGCACTCAGCTTATTGGCAGCAAGGCCTGCAGCTGAGCGCGTCTGCTCTATGAAGATGCCAACTGACATCAGAGAGCAATCGCACAACGTGACAAAATATCCTTAGTCAGTCCCAACCCCACAATCTTACACTCAATGTGTAAATGATGGAGAAAACATGGGAAACAGGCATGGGAGTCAATATAGTCATCTCACATATGCAGCTACGGTAAAGACTCAGCTTTCCAGAAAAACAGTCCTGTTCCTGAACTGCTAGACAGTTTCTCCTACTTCATTTATTCTTCTGTTATGGGTAGTCAGTCTCCCATCAGCAACATTTGAGCACAGAGATTTCTCTTAGCTAACATCTAGATTTCAGGCAGGATTCAGTTCTTGAACTGTAAGCATCTGATGCAATCTGAGATCCCCAAGGCATTCAGAACATCCTCATACACATGGCAAATATGACATAGGGTTCATGAGAGTTTTGTCCTCTTCAACGTTGGCAGCTGGACTCACTGCATCTATGTCCGTTCTTCAGATGAGGTGAATCACTCTGCATGCTCCATCTAACTGGACCTCCTTTGGGTCTGGAAACAGAGATACCCTGCTTTCATGTAGACACCTACTTGTAGGCATCTTTATCTGATGGGAGCCGTGGAAGACTATGGCAGCTTGTCAAATACTGATGGCATATTCTAGGATTTCACATGAGTTCAAGCCACAGTCTGCTGTGGACTCTGCATCCCATCTGTGAGGCCATGGATATCTGAGACACCTGAAGCATCTAAAACAACACCAAGAACCTACGTGTGGGACACCAAATTGAGCCTTTGTGTACACACTATGGACAGCCCCTCCAGCTATACTGCTCTACTATTTGAGCTTACAGTTTTAAAGTTAAATAGGGTATATTTGTAAAACAAGGTCTATGTTAGAGAAGTAGGTATCTGAACAATTCAGACAACATCCAGCTTGCTTCCAAGGATGTTCCTTCCCAGCATTTTGTGCTGTTCGATCAGCTCCCATGAATGGATATGCACCCAAGAGATAGGCCATGAGATAAGGTTGACTCTGCTCATCACACATTCAGTCGCTTGGCAGCAGGGGAGTTGCATGCATTTCCTTCACAGGGAGGGCATGTAGTCCACTGCACATATCCCACAGTCCTGCTCCACACTACGGTGGTCACTGGACCACAAGTAGGGTATAGTGCTTTCTACCTATGTGAGAAAGGTTAATGTCTTCTGCTGACCATGTTTTTCCCACTGAAGAGCGTAAGGAGTAGATGTGTAGCCAATCTGGGAGTGTTTCCTACAGCAATGTCGACTGTGAAAGAAGACTGGTTGGCTATAATCCTGCAGAACACCTGACCTTGGAGGGTGGAAAAAAACAGTTGGAAGAGTCACTAACTGAAGATGTAACTGATTACGCTATAAATAGTACATAGCACCTGGGGACAAGCCAGTGGAGGGGCTCTATATAGGAAAGTCACAACAACTATACTCAGAAAAAAAAGAGAGAGAAAAGGAAAGACACGGTTCAGCTCTTAAATTGGGATACAGCTGTAGCTTTCCTCCAGCATATGGGAATGGCCAAGAAACACGAGCCACTACTTTATTTTTGGACTCAGATTGAGATTCCCACTGAGTTCAAATCCAGTGTTTTGGGATTTGTTTGTTATATGCTCTATGGCAAAGGGCCATCACCCTTTCAAGGGTAAAGCCTGCATCTGTCTCCCTAAACATGCCAACAGCAACACAGCAGGGAGTGGAAGATGCCACCCTGAATGACGCCCATCATGGCTTATTGGCAAATCAGTGGCACATCGGTTCCCTGTGAGTCAGGAGCTCTCAGCTGCCTTTCCAAACCCGTCATAAGCAAAGACACTTTGCTGACCCTGTGCTGCAGCTCGCAGCCCTGTGCCAGCCTTACAGCTCACCAGTGCTCACTTGTCTTCTTCAGTGGCTGGCGTTGCTTTAGGTCACTAGAAAGACTTTTGGCATCGGAATGTGAATTTCCCGTGGCAGTGGGTTTAAGATAGGATTAAGGATTGAAAACATCTCTGAACAACAAGTAAGGATCACGCTAGCTGTGGGATTACCCACTATGGCTGTGGGCCAGTCCAGATCTTTGGAATCAAAAACTGGGAGCCAGTATTGGAAAACTGAGTGCATGTTCAGTGAAGATAAATACCTTTAAGACAGAAAACTGGACCATAATAATAAAAAAAAATCAGTCATCTTTTTAGGCAGTTTACATTTTGTTCAATTACATATTAGAACAAAAGTCCCAAAGACCTGCATGTGACTTCTAATTAATTCTTTCCCAGAGCGCCAGTGAACATAATCAAAAGTCACCACACAGCAGACAGGTTTCAGTGAGCTGGGATAATGTCAGTTCCAAAAGCAAAACAAAGCCAGACCTGGTCAGGACAGAGTAGAAAAAGAAACCAAAGCAGAAGAAAAAAAAAAAAAAAAAAAACAACAACCAAATAATACCCAAAACAAACAGAAAAAATCTGAAGGAAGCCAATGCTTTTCCTAGTCTATTAGATACTTTGCAGAATAGATGGGGTTGGTTAACCCTCAGGTCAGACTTTCCCCAAGAGCTGAGCAGAGATAAATAATGGTGAATGCCAGTTGAAAACAGCGGGTACCTTTTCCAGGAATACAAAAATAAATTATGACCAGGAAATACTGGAAATAAAGTTCAGCTCATTTGCAAGGGCGAGACAGAGATACCCTTAATGGTACTGTGGTTTGGAGAACACTACTGAATAAAGCCAGAAGATGTGCTGGACAAAGCTCACGTCTTTTCCTGGAAAACCAACCCATTTGCCAGATGTTGGGAGCCAGATTTATGGAAGGCCAGTAATTATCCTCCAAGTGTAGGTTCAGCGACATAGGCATGCATTACTCCTCCTTATCTACTTTTCTTTGTATTTTTTGCCTACTCTTTCTCTAGTCAGATCAATTCTATCTCCTTGCCTTTTTAGGAGAAGTCTAGGAGCAGGGACTTGTAAGTGGACATGAAAAATACACAGTCTTTGAAGTTTCCAGTCAATCATAAAGGAATAAACAATTGTTCTTTGGAAATCAAATCTTTTTAGGATGTATTATATTGGACTTCTAAAATAAAGGTGTCCAGATTTACCAGACAATTGCAGAAAGGTCACCGATTTTCTGTGTACTTGGTAGGATGAATATAACATTTTACTCATTCTTGCCCTAATTCCTTGTACAGCATGCTGAAAATATTCACTCTCTTTGATTAGTCACACATTCTTCAAGCTTATCTCAGATGCAAAAACCAAAATAATAGGATATGCAAGGAGGACAGAAGAGACTCACCTGGCATTCAGTTAGCCATGATATGTTTCACAAAAGCTGGAAACAAGAAAAAGAGAAGGATCATTTATCAATTTCCCTTCATTGAACTCAGATCCTGGGTATCTCAGATCGATTGTTATTTAAATTCACTATTCTTCTGATGCAGTGCAGACCAGGTCACTTTGCAAATAAGAATCCAGATACCAGGTGCTAAATACTTTGTAAGTCCTTATAATAATATACGTACAGTGCAGTGTGGCCAGCAGTCCAGGCAGCTGGTGGAAAGGAACACGCACATCAGTTGGGCCATAGCTTGCTTAATCCCTTATCCTGGCTGCCGTATAGAACTGTCTTTCCAAAGTCTACAGCCATGAGAAACCCTGGGTCCTCATCCTGCAAGGCTTTCAAGACTTCAGCACATGTCTACTAAGTCAGGAGGCACTGAAGGTGCCTCTGGAGTGAACCTCCAGCATCCACAGCAGGTCACCAAGTCAGGTATCATGACTGTATCTCTCCAGTGAACTCAGTTTTAGAAGCAAGCAAGGTATTTCAAAACCAAATTAAGCTTTTGTTTCAAAAAGTTTTGCATTCCAATTTTCCCCATATTAAAAAAACATTCATTATATCTGATTATGTAATTCAAAAGGGAAAGCAAAAATACATTTTGCACTAAGGAAATATTTGTTTCCTTCCCAATAATCCCCCCAATTCTATGAATTTCTCTGAATTCAGCATAAACTCATGAGTCACTTGGGTAGGTTGAATCTACAGATTTCTACCAATAAACTACTTGTAAGAAACGTTTCTCTGAGCTCAAATCACTGCTATAGCATTTGTAAGTAGGAGACCACCAACCCAAACTTTCATAAAAGGTTCAGTGAATATGACAGACCAGCTAAACCACCACGGTGATACAATCGCCAGTCACCAGTTAGCCTTAAGAAGGACTCAGCTGTGTACGATAATGTGTGTTCATGAGCCTTATTAGAATTTTGTGATTTTATTGAACAGCCTGAAGCATCTAGGTTTGCAAGATGCAGGAGAGAGACATGGTCCACTTTCTCATGACCAAATCCTTTTATTCTGTCTTTCTATGATAGCCATGAAATAAAATGGAAGGTCTTTGGAACGTCTTGTAGGATTCTTAGGACAACAAAGAAGATGCTAAGGATAACATTTTTTGCTGAATTTTTGAAAGAAAATTTATTTTTTTATTTATTTTGAAAGAAAATTTATTGACTTTCTGTAAGGAAGTCTCAAAAGGAATGTGTATCTCTTTTTGAGAGGACAAGGAACTGTGGGAGTGGGTAGAAAAAAAATTTTTTTTTTAAAAGACATACAAAACAAGAATATACAGCCCCACCTCCTGAAAGGGCCATGGCCAGCCAGCTATGAAAAATACAAGTAACGTTCAACAGATAGAGTATATCAGATTAATTATGGAATCTGAATTGGTCTAAAATTTGGAAAAGCACACATCCTGATCTTTGGGAGTCAGATCTTCCACAGGCTTAAATTTTCCCAGGATAACTCAGGACATGGTTTAGTGGGCATAGTGGTGTTGGGTTGACAGTTGGACTTGATGATCTTAGAGGTCTTTTCCAACCTTAATGATTCTGTGATTCTAAGCCTTCAAACATGAGCACTGCTCAGAACGGAGTGATCATACCTACCTTCATAGTTGATGCAACCATTGGCATCTTCCTGACCAGCCATTAGCTTATCAACTTCCTCTTCAGTCAACCTCTCCCCTGGGTGGAAAACAAAATACCTGTTCAGTACTGCTGGTCTTTTTAAGAATTTAAAAAACACAGTTCAAAGAACCAAAAGAGAGTGAGAGAGGAGGAGATTTTTTTTTTTTTTCAGTTTGTGGTGCTGGCTGCTTCCTAGCTACTTTTGTACTTGCAAACTTAGAAAATTTGATCTGAAAACCAAAAAGACAGAATAAATATAGAAACCCACATGATATCATGTTCACGTACTCATACTTCTAAGAATAAGCTTTCTCTAAATGTCAAATCCTGAAGGCTCTAGTCACTTTTTAACCAAGTCCTCACTAAGCAAACTCCTAGTAGAGGCACCATCCAGTTTGTCTCTGAATTTGAGGTTCAGGAAGATTCCAAGGTGAAATTTAGGATCTCTGATTTGGATTAGTGATCCATTCAATTTAATTTAATTATCTAAATATTAGTTGCCTATTTGCCTGTAAGGCTTCATTCTGGTTAAACAGAGATCAACCTGATCCATCTCCTTATTCTGATATTAGGCACTGATTTTAGGATGAGGTCAAATGAGTTCCAGAAATGTAAGGGAGAAATTTGAGGGTGATTTCAGCTGAAATCGTAGAAATTAAAATAAAATAAAATGCTTTGGGTGTGCCCTGTTACTCATGTTGTTCCACTTTTCCATCAGTGAGTTCTGGCACACGGGAACAAGTCCTCAGCTGTTGTGAACCTGTGAAAATTCAACGGATCATTTGAAAATTGAAGAGAAAAACGTGTTAATCTACAGAATATTTGTCTGTGCCTAGTATTTGACAAGTATTTAGAGACTCCACTCTAAACAGAACTGTTAATTCTTAAGATTTAAGTACTTCCTCTTGGTATTTGAAAAGCAGACATTGCCACATTGTTCAGGGTTACTGGAAATAGATGGGTAAGTACAAAATTATTTCTTTCAGTACTGTGAAACTCATAAAAGTCCCCACAGTGGTTTCTTTGTCCCAGGTAGGGTTAGACAGGGCAACAATCCTGACCCTGTGGGGTTTTTTTGTCATAACTGAATTTGGTCCCCAAATCAATCCCATAGCATCAATGATAAAAACAAAAATAGCGCTGCTTTCTTTTCTTATTCCTTGTGTCATAAATAGGATGGACGTGTCATTGAACGAAAACTCCTAGGCATAAAAGGTTTGGCTTTCTGAATCGATATGCCAGGTCAAAACCCATCGTTGGAATCCTTTGGTCTAAATCAAATCTCTTTTGTAAAGGCTCAACCTTTTTTTAAAATAGCAGACAAATGTTAGTAGAAATGGCTGATCATGAGAAATGCTTACTGGATTCAGATGACATGTCAGTGCCTTCTAATCCAAATTGGAACCCTGTCATTGAGTTACAGCCAAATTTTCTGTCCTGCACTCATTCTGTTGTCATCACTCTCTGTGAAAAACTGAGCTCCTCAAGTCAAAAAATGAGAGGACAGAGAAATATTGATCCCTCTTTTAAAAACAGGGGCTTTCCATTTCAGAGATATTTCCATTAAACAGATGACTGATAAAAAAGTGCTTCATCTTAAAACTTTTCTTGAAGGTGCAGAAAAATGGAGACAGATGTTGAAGGAATAGATGGAGGTTCTAATGTTTGGATAATTTATGGTGAAGAAATATAATATTTATTGGAGAAATAAAATACTAGAGGAAGGAAGGAAGGAAGGAAGGAAGGAAGGAAGGAAGGAAGGAAGGAAGGAAGGAAGGAAGGAAGGAAGGAAGGAAGGAAGGAAGGAAGGAAGGAAGGAAGGAAGGAAGGAAGGAAGGAAGGAAGGAAGGAAGGAAGGAAGGAAGGAAGGAAGGAAGGAAGGAAGGAAGGAAGGAAGGAAGGAAGGAAGGAAGGAAGGAAGGAAGGAAGGAAGGAAGGAAGGAAGGAAGGAAGGAAGGAAGGAAGGAAGGAAGGAAGGAAGGAAGGAAGGAAGGAAGGAAGGAAGGAAGGCAAACATTTGAGCTGTAGGTCAGTGATTTTTAGCTTCATTATTAAGGAAATTTATTTAGTCTGTATAAATGAGGACAATGGATAGCTGAAGTTTTTCTCGGTCATTTTCTTCATAAAGATTACCCATAATGAGACAAGCTGAGTGGGAAAGACCTCAGTGATGAAACTTCATGAACAAAGTTTCACCTTACCCAGTGTAGCCAAAACATGGCGGAGTTCAGCCCCCATCACCGTTCCATTTCCCTCCTTGTCAAAGACACGCAGACCCTCCACAAAGTCCTCATATGTGCCTGTGTCTTTCGTCTTGGCAATATGCTGGAGCATGGGCAGGAAGGTCTCAAAGTCGATCATCTTTGAGTTCATGTCTACAAAGGTACAGATGGAAATGAAAGTTTTGGTAGATTCTGGGAGAGTTGAGAGCATCCACCATGGGTAGGTGATGAGGGTAGAAGAACTGTGGCAATAAATGCCAGCTACGGGGGAGAGAAGAGCATAGAAATATCATAAGTACAGGTGGAAGAATGGATAGTCAGAGTGGGAAAGGAGTCTGGCAAAGAGAGAAATATGAGTTTTTAATAGGTAGGTAGGTAGGTAGGTAGATAGATAGATACCTCCTAGTATCTGACATACCGAAACATCAAGGAAAAAAATATTGTTAAACTCCCAAGGCTGTTTCACGCAAAATCGAAGTATGAAACTAAGCAGAAGACAGTGGGAGAAGCTCATTCCCAACACAAAATCAGCTTTGCTTTGCAGCCCTATAACACAGAGATGTTTACAACCATACTGGGAGAGGAGCTTCAGAGCAAATAGGCAGGACCAGGGCTATGTATCCCATTTTCCTGATCCTTTGCCTTTCAAGAGCATTAGAGGACATTTTGTTCTCATACGACTCTTTGTCCTACCTGCTACTGTGTCATTGCCATATTCTGACACATCATAGTTGTTGAGTGTGGGCCTAATGTCAGTTCCACCTCAGAGGAAGGAAAGGACAGAGAAGTGGTCTAGAAAACACCTGAATGTAGAGGTGGTCTGAGAGAGATTTTGTATTTTCTGAAGAGACATCCAGTGTATGGTGACTGTTGAAGGGAGGTATTACTGCAGTCATTATAGACCTTCTAACACATACTTTTGTAGTACAAGCTGTGTCCTCACAACCAGTCTATCCCTTTGGTTTTTTGGACGTCTTCAAAATGCCTGTGTTTCTAGTAAACACAGGTGAATGCCTGTCATCAAAGCAATTTTAAAAGGCAAAAACTTGTTATTGTAAAACACATTGATGCACAGGGCCATTAAATTAATTCATTCTCCTAAATTTGAGACAATTATATTGACTGCAAGATCACTTTTTTCCTCATTTACTTTTCTGCTAATGATTTGCAGGGGCTGTTCCATATCCCGTGTTACTTCACAATTAATCTTCCCATCAGAAAATGGAGACTTCATCTGCTTCACGAATACTTCTTGGAGTGATCATTTTTCAAAACAAACACAGGGGAGGACACCAACCTTCTGGTTTGGGTCTGCCAAGCACTTTCATGACCTCAGCCTGGGTTGGATTCTGCCCCAAAGCTCTCAAGACATCTCCACACTGTGCATATGTGATTTTCATCTCAGATTTAGGAGTCCGGTCGAAGAGTGAGAATGCTTCCTTAAATTCTGGAAGACAAAAAGATTAAATGAAATGCATGCCATGCTCCCTCAGATGAAGTCAAAGCAAGCCTAGACCTTCCCCCTAACTATCTCTGCCTGACCCTTTCATTTTGCAGTTTGGGAACAAGTTTGATGAGCTTTGCTGTCGCTGTTATCTGCAGTGTTTGTGTTCCTCCTCCCCTGCATTTTCCGGTTCAGTCAGGGAATGGAATTGGAGAGGTCAAATGTCCTTCTCATGGTATTTCCATCTCAGCTAACATCAGGAAATGCAGAAAACCTCATAGAAATGGTTGCCCTTGAGAGCTTTCCAGCTCATCGGGAGCACTCAGGATGGCACAGAATTCAATTGCAGTTCTACTCGTTAGTTAACTGGATATTGGATTCAGCATCAGACACTTAGAGAGCACTGACACAACCCACCGAGGTAAAGGAGAACCTCTATTAGCAGGTAACAAGATATGCCGTGATAACCTACTGGAATTATCACACCACAAACAGTCTATTAGTGGGGGAGGGTGAAGGTACACAGAAAGCCTTATTATTTATCAATTGTTGTATTTAACAGTGACAAGGAGCAGATCTAGAAGAATCTTCTGATTTTTCTTTTTTCTAACACCGGTCTAACTGCACCTGGAGAAGTAAGGTTTGGTATACCATCAGCTACCTACAGCAGGCCAGGTCTCATGTGTGGAGATGCAATCATTCCCTCCAGTGGTTTTGCATCTGCGTGCTTTCCCCTGTGCACCCATGCAGAGCTCTTCCCCTTGCAAGACAGCCAGCTCCCCTCCATCACATCCTTGTGAACGTATCCTCATGTCTTCTCTTTACTTCTGGCCAAAGAGGGAGTCCCTTACCGCTGTGAGCAGCAATATCTTGGCAAGAGCATTCCCATGGGAGAGGGTCCCTGTTCTACCACTGGTTACGTGTAGGTGTGGCACTGAGGGACGTGGTCAGTGGTGGACTTGGCAGTGCTAGGTTAACAGTTGGACTCGATGATCTTAGAGATCTTTTCCAACCTAAATGATTCTGTGATTCTAATTAACGGGGTCAGTGCAGGATGCCAGGGAGACTTCCCCAGGCACACTAATTACTCAGCTTCGCCTCTCTCCACTGGAGGTGCAGAAACATTGCAGAGACAGAGCATCATCTCCGGGACAAGCAGCAGTAACAGGCTGGTATCCCCTACTGAACACACGGCACAGTGCACGGTCTGTGAGGGATCACAAATATCCCTTTGGCTTTAAAGCTGTGAACACCTGAATCTGCCCCTCATCCTGCTGTTACCCCTCTGCATGTTTCCTTCCCACTCGCCAAACACAGCGAGGATATCTATTTTTCCCTAGGTCCTGACTCATTCAACCATTCAGCCATGTACTCTGCATGCCAGATTTTCTCCATCTTTCCCTTCTCAATTCCTTCTCCTCCTCATTATTCCACCTCCCTCTTTTTTCTTTCTTCTCCTTTGCTTATTTCCCTCTTCTAATGTTGCTGGGTTTGCCTCTCCTCCTTTCTCCCTCCCTTTTCATTTTTATCATACCACTCATACCTGACTCATTTCCTTCCTCATCCAACACTTTCAAACAGTGATGCATTTTCTCGTTGTGGACTAATTAACACGTCCCTTGTTTTCTTCTTTGCATTCTCCTCTTTGCTCTCTATTTCTTTCTCTCCCTGCCTCTCTCCCCTGGATCTTTGCCTCCTCTGTCCCCGGCAGGAGCCCAGGTCCCATCGACAGCCCTCACTCCAGCAGAGGGCAATAGTGGATTTTCATGGGCTCCCTGTTGACAGTGGAAGGGGGCCGGAGCCCCACTCCCAGCTCTGTCCTTTCCTGGGGGTCTCAGCAGCTGAGGTGGATGAGAAATACACCCACCTCCCTCAGCTACTCATCTGCCTGCCGCTTACCCGCCCCCGAGACCGATTGCCTGGGCACCCTGCGCACCACCTCCTAAAGGTGTTACCGACAGATCACATTTCTCTCTTTTTTCTTTTTTTTTTTTTTAAATTTAAAATCAGATGTAACTGTCTCTCACCAGAGCACTGGTCTGTGCATTTGGAAACCCCATTTTGTCAATATACAGAAGCAGCTTTTTTTTTTTTTTTTCCATTTGCATTTGCATTTGCTGGCTTAATGCAAGTTTCCATCAAAGCAATGAAACCATCATGGCCATGGTCTTCTTTGTCCTCCTGCTAGCCGTTAAACCACTGGCAGGAGCAGTGCATATTTTCACATGCCTAATTACTACCTATCTTCTCATCTTGAATAGCTCATATTCCTCTCTTTTGAGCAATTTAGGGGGCTGAAGAGGCGAGCAATTCAGTTTCATAAATACACATTGCCACAACCAATGAATTCTACCTGCAGATGAGGCAGGAACACATGTAAAGAGGGGTGTGTGACACATGGCTTCACCCACAAACCATTCTCCTGAGAGTCATATTTTGGGAGCTAACATAAAACTGAATCCTTGCAGGGAAATAAGCCTGGTGCAGTAAAGTCTTTTCCTTAACAAGAGGAAGACGTTCAGACTACCCTAGAAGATAGAGCTGGAAATGACCTTGAGATGCTGCATTGTCTGTTTCTCCTCACCACCTCAATTCAGAATCAGCTGCCAGAAAACCAGTTGGGGTCAATGGTGATAGACCAATGGCCAGCAATATCTAACACATAGGATGAACTCCCTATTGATCTAGTTTCAGCTGTCAAATGGGGAAACATCTAGTCTCACTGAGACATCTAGGTCCTTATCTGGTCAACAGAGAGAGAGGTGATTATTATATATTAGAGGTCTTTTTTTAAAAAAAAAACACATATAAAGGTATGACAGGTGACCTTGACCTACTGATGACTTCCTGAAAGAGGAAATTTGACAAAAATTAACAGTACAGTGCAGAGCTGAAAATGAACCCAGAACAAAACATGTGCAACTGAAACCCAGAAGAAAGGAAGACCTGACAATCCTGGAAGTTCCAGAGAGTGAGAAGAGAATGGGAAGGAGAAAAGAAATAAAAAAGATCTATTCTAGAGCTCCTGTGAGTCCCAACTCTCAAGTCATGCCAAGAGCCAGTATAACAGCTATGAATCGTGGCAAGTGGTGCTTGCTTTCTAACCTGCGCTTTTAACCTCAAGATAAAACAGTTCCAAGCACTATAACACTGATTGTCCACTTTCTTAAACTGGTAGCACACTTCTTGGCATGGTTTTGACATGTGCAAACTAGTAGAGAGGACAGCACGTGCCAGGAACAATCCAGGGACAACTGTGGACTGTGCAGTAGATATAATTCTACATTTGAAGCATCTAAGCTCTACCTAGGAGTAAATATCTACCTAGAAACTACCAATCTGTCTGCCTACTCACTGATGAATCGAAGAACCTTATAAAGGTCAGGTGACGGAGAAAAAAGCAACAACAACAAAAAAAAGAACCAGAAGAGGCCAGGAGGAAAGGAATTGAGGAGCTGACTGATGAGCAGTGATCAGTCCCCAGGTGATGGTCAGGCCCTTAGGCACTCCTTCCGGCAACTGATAGCAGAACCTATGAACCAACTGTGGGATTAACCTTGAGTAGGTTTAGCATTTCTCCCCAGTGCTAGCACACGCTATAACTGTTACGCTGTTGTAGCTGATGTGGAGGTCTCATAGTCTTTCTCACACAATGTTATCTGCTTCTGGCCACATGGCTTTCCCTTTGATATTTCAAGGACATCCTATTTCCCAACTCCTGGATCCCCAGCTTTTCTTTGTGTATGCAGTGAGTACAGCTGGACCAGAAAGCAGCTGTAAGAAAAAAAAAGAAGAAAAGAAAGAAGATGCCACTTTATCTTTCTAGAGGTAGTCTGCATCTGCTGTAGACCTGTTACCTTTTATGGCAGCCCTGTAGTTGCTCCAAATTTGCCATTTCTTAGCCATTCCAATGGGCTGATGGCCAGACAAGCATCCCATTTTTTTCTGAATATGTCTTTTTTTCCCCCTTTTCTCTGATATATTCTCTAAAGCTAGTTCTCTTCAGGGAGAGAGAAAATAAGACATAGAAACTAGGTGGGCCCTATCCAGTCCCCAAAACTCATGAGAACTGTTGTGTGCTGCTGGAATAGTTCAAAGGTTTGTGGCCCAGAACTATGCCTCTCCTATGGTTCTCCCATGCCTTTTGGACTGGAAAAGGGGCAGGTTCCCAGAAATTAAGTTACCTCCAATTATGAGTTACTTTTGACCTGTTACTAGAAAATAAAAACTGAAGCCATTAAAGGGGCTTGAAAATCCCAAGGTAATGTTGGAAGTCTGTGGCAAAGCCTCAGTCTCTAAGATACTATGGCATTTGGTTCCAGTTCAGAAAATCATTCTTTCTGTATCTCTCCTCTCTGAATCAGCCTGACTAGATAGCCAGTGATTTATTTGTTTTTATATCTGGTCTAATTAACCCATTTTCTGATACCATCTTTCATAGGCTCTACCAAGTTCTGCCAAGTGTTTAAAGACCAAAGCAAAATTCTGCCAGATGTTTGCCTCCATCTATCAATTACCCCTTTAAATAAATGCAGGCTGGTCGTTGAGGAAAAAGGGGACAGAAGCAGTGGTAGTGTTCCCAGGACTTCATGCATGAGGTTTCAGTATTAGTTTCTTGGACTGGGACAAGTGGTTCAGAAACTAATGCTGATGTTTTGCTTTGAAAGAAAAAAAATGCCATTGCTGTCATTATTTACTGGTTTCTGGAGAGCTGTCACAAAACTGTAACGTATTAAATTCTGATTGAATACAGGGAAAAGTTCTCAAAAGCAGAGATGTGAGACTATCCCTTGAAAGGATTGGTAATTTGTTAGTGGGTTTTCTTAAAGAAAGAGCATATATTTGGACTGAGGTTTTGGGGGGTGGCGTTTTTATCTTTTGTGGTTGTGCCTCATTGGCAGTAGAGCTGATGTTTGCTTTAATGAAATAAGCACTTGCTCTGCACGGTGCATGAATTTCCCCCTTCTCTCTGGACCAACTCAACAGAGGATTTGGAGGAGGGATGGATCTTGAACAAAGCCATGAATTAAAACTCAGCCTTCGTAAGGTAGCACAAATACCACACCCATGTTCACCCCAGCACTTGCCAGTACCTCCCAGTAATGGTATTTACTCTGCACAGGAGAGAAACACATATTCCTCACCTTCAATCTGATCAGGGGTGAATTCAACCTGAAAGAGACAAAGAATAAGAGTCAGATAAAAAACAGAAAACTGAAGCAAATAAGAAGAGCACTGGTTTAGTCTCTGTCATCATCCTGGCTGTGAAGTCCATGAAAAAGACTGTCTCATAACTCTAAGAAAATAATTTTATAGACCCCGGAGATTCTTGTTCTTTCCTCCCCCACCTTCCCTATTCACCAGCCCCACCTTTAGGACCTCTTCGCTCACCAGAAGACTGCAGATGCCCTTCATCTATTCTTCTGCTGCTCCTGTGTTCCTGCTGGAGTCTCTTTCCCCTGTCCCAAGCAGTCTTTTTCCCCCATCCCACCCTCTGGATGCCCTCTCCAGAGGTGATTATGGTAGCACCATGGTAAATCCCAGGCTACTTCACTGAAAGGGTTTCACCTGTAGACAGATAGGGATCTACTGTCCATAGTCTTTTCCAGTGGAAGATCTAGGGGGTATCAAGTGAAGCTGGCATGAATCAGACTCCAAGGAAAGTGAAGGAACTGGTTCTCTGCCCTTACATCTGGATTGTGGAAAGCTGGCCATGGGATACTGTGGATGTTCACAGTCTACCTGTGTGTATAGGGTCACAGGACCATGTCCTGGAAAAGAAATCCATTTCTGTACAGTACAAAATGGACAGAACTACTTAGCTTAGGAATGTCCTGCTTGAGGTTTAGGCGTGTGTTTCAGGGAAGTTTTGCCCAGTTATTGTACCTTTTCCTAAAGCATCCTCTAATAACCACTGCTGTACTATATTGGACAACTCTCTGGACCTTGCGCTGACTCTGCCATCTGTCTCTTGTTTTCTCATCACTTCATATTTCCTCCTGTTTCCTATGTTTTGGGGTTGTCTCACTCCCTATTTTTAGGTGGCACAGCCCTCTAGCAGCTCCAGGCTCCAAAAGTGCTACAAATGCTACAAGATGGCAAGAGGCCGATGCTGAGCTCAAATGCAAAAGAAGGAAACACAAAGTCAGAATGTAAGGTCCAAGCTTCTGAATGAACAGGCACAGGTCAGCAATGTGAATTTACACCACAATTTACATCTGCCTCTCATGGAAGACCAACAGGGTGGTGTCTCTGCTGATGGGGACATTTCTGCACTATAGGAAGACTGGCAGATTGCCATTATGGTGAATACATAAATAAACCGTATTTTGGTATGCATAAACATGCAAATACATACATGCAAAACATACATTTGGGACAGTCCTAACAGTATATGAATGCACACCCTTGGAAGCATTCCTCTGTGGACATATACGACCTTTCCCCCCTCCTCAACGTATGTACAGCCCCACATATTTTGGGTCAGATTTTCCTTATGAAGCCAACCACCTCTCATTGTTTAGTATCATATTTTGTTCCTTGGTAGCAAAGCAGCCCAGTGGAACAAAGGCATAGTGAGAACCTCAAACATGAACTCCCTGTCTCCTTGTTTCAAGGTGAAATGTAACGTGACACATCCCTTCATCATCTGCTTGGGATTTTGATAATATTAAGAGGTGGAGTTGTTGTAACTCCCCAGCTCTACAGCCAGGATGGCTCTGACATAGCAGAGCATGACAACGCCAACCTCTTTATTCTACCCAGAGTTCAGTGGACAGCCCTCAGATGCTCTTCTGTCTCCAGATACCCTGAGCAGCACAAGGAGCTCTAGCATACATAAGACACCATGAGGGTCTACAGGGAAGATACAGACAGCCCAAAACTCATATTTGCTACCAGTGTCCTGCCTATCTCTCCCCACCATAGTGTTTCTGAGCATCTGCTGGCTTAGGAGAAGGAAGAACCAGAAAACATCTGGTGGACTTGGAAGGCAGGACTCAACACTAATTCTGTAATTGTTGAAGATCGGCCATTATTTTTGTGTCTGCCTGGTTCAATCCTTATCTGAACTAGCTCATTCAAGGGATTACCACTTTGTTTGCAATTCTCAGTCATGATTTACCTTGACTGAAATTCAATTAATAAAATAGTTGCCTACGTGTCAGCCAGGAGGCTGTCCAGAAGGAACCATTTAAAGAATGCAAGAAAGGAGCCTCCAGAAGAATAGCAATGTTCTCCTTTTTCCTAATACATGGAGTGGTCCAAACACACCTTTGTTATGAAGATTATAGTAACCTAGATTGGGTCCTGTCCCAAATTCACATACCTTAGTTTAATTGGCAATAAATAGCCATTGGGGAACACATTTATACAGGTGCATTGTCAGCAGCAGTTTTACGCTCAGTGTGTCTAATTATATCAAGCTTTGAGAATCTGAGTGAAGCTAATTACATGTTGAGTTTATTCAGGCATCAATAGCCAGGGAGGGTGAAACAAGGCCAGAGCTGCTGGCAACTCATATTTAAATCACTATGATGGATTGCTTTTGGGGAAGAATTCCTCTCAGCTACACTTAGATGCAGACATTCAGTTGTGTGGGAGACCCCACATTTGCTTTATAGCAGTAGAAGGGAGCAGGCACTTCTAGGGTGTGATTTGACTTGTTTTAGGTCTATACTTGGGAAGAAGATGTATTATGCTCTCCTTTTCCCCGAGTGGATCAATCAGTTCTACAAGGCCGATAACAAGAATGTGGGCAACTAGCACAGCTGTAGATGGCCTTTTCTGATCTGATGAGTCCCACCTCTAAAGCGTGAGCTAGCCCTTTGGCAGACTGCAGATCAGGAGAAACTGCACCAGAGCAAAAAAATGATGACTGCAAATTCCCAAAATGGATCAAAGGGAAGGTTTGAGTTGAAGGGCTGAGTGTGCCTCACCTCTAATCATGGCTCCTATAAAAAAACCACCCAGAGCTGGAGGACCATGCGTGACATCTGGCAAGGAGGTGGCAGACGGTTTGACCAGACCTACCACCCAGGCATGACTTCCTCTCAGGAAAGCTGCAGAGAGGTGTGGGTGGTGGCTGCTGCTATTTTCTCCCTCAGGACAT